TCCCTCTCTCAGGAAGACCTCTTCCTGATCACAAATTGCACTGAATCATACAAAGGTTTTATATCCTTCCATTAATACATATTCAGTGAACAACCCCCAAATTTCATTAAAATTATCCTTATTTGTCAACCCTTTTTTAACCTTAATATTTCACATTAACTTGTTATTAATGGCTGCATTCCAAATTTACTTAATTGGAAATCACAATTTTCCTTCTAGTTTTTTGCTATTATTAATCTTATGGTTGTTAATAAATTTGCTATTGATTCTTTAATGTTTCATTTCTTTTCATGAAATAATGACAATAATGTAATTCCTGGGTCTACTTCAATATCTAAATCCAATATTTTGCTAATTTCCTTAAAACCATTTTGCAAATTTTCATAATTTCACATTCACACCACATATTGAAATAAGTACTCACTTTCTGACCACATGTCCAACATATATTGGAATACTTATTATACATATATTAGTTTTACCAGTGTCAGCTACCATTTCCGTACTAATCTGTAGAAGTTTTCCGTAATTCTGATCAACATTAAAAAAAAAAAATCCCATATTTTTTCCTGTTCTTCCTTACTTATATACCTTCTTAAATCTATTTTCCATGAGACCTTAAGAAGGTCATATTGATCCTCCACTTCTAATAAGGTCTTATAAATTTCACTTATCCCTCTTATTTGCACATTATCTTGTTTTTCCTTATGTAAAAAAAACTCTTCAAATTTAGTAATATCTCTGAATTTACCATTTTTCTTTTACTCAGTTCTTTAGTCCATTGTTCTAAATACCTAACAAACCAGGTTAATTTTTCTGTTCCTAATACCATCTTTATCCTTTTCTTATTATACGTGTTCTTTGTGAACTTGTTTATCCTTATGTACTGTTCTCAAACTACCTCTCAAATTTTCTGGAAATCCTTTGATTTGTGTGACTGAATTCCCCTATTCTTGTTCCAAATTTGCACCATGTTCTCAAGGAAAGGGTTTTCTATCTTTTTAACCATCCCATATTTTTTTAAAAAAAGAATGTTTAAAAAGGATTCCTCAATTTGTTGGTATTCTAATTCTGTCCATATTACCTTTTTGGGCTGTAATATAATGTCTGGTATGTACCTTATTTGATTTTCTGCATAATATAGTTTGATATTTGGAATACCTAATCCTACCATTTTTTGCAGTCCATACCACTTTTTTTGGTAGTCCTCACTTCCTTGTCCCTATTACAAAATGGATTCATCATATTTTGCCAATCTTCCAATTATTTTCCTAATATCTTAACTGGTAACATCCTGAGCAAAAGGTTAATCTTAGCTAAAATTTTCATTTTGCATACTGCTATTGTACCAAATCATTATAATCTAATTTTTCTAAATTCATTTATTATTTATTTAAAAACTTTTTTTTTGGACCATCCCTTACCAAAGTCTTGGGACAGTTTACCAGTAAGACAAAAAACAAAACAAAACACAGAATTAAACACATCCTGATCAAATTCTGACAGTAAAACCCATATTAAAATAATAGTAAACCTTAAAATATGGGGAGGGGGGAGGGTTTTAGCCTGGCGCCAAAAAGAATAAAGTGATGGTGCCAGGCAAACCTCTCTGGAAAGTATGTTCCACAGTTGGGGTGCCAACACAGAGAAGGCCCTTCTCCGGGTAACCACCCTGCTAATCTCCTTCATGGAGGACTCCTGAAGAAGGTCCTCCACCCCAGTTCTTTAAGGGGACAGGCACATATGGAAGGAGATGCTCCTTCAGGTAACCAGTCCCTAAGCTGTTTAGGGCTTTATAGGTCATAACCAGCACCTTAAATTGGGCCTGGACTTCAACAACTGGTAGCCAGTGTAGGTGGTAAAGGGCTGGTGTTGTATGTGCATACCTGCTGGTCCTTGTTAACAACCTGGCAGCTCTATTCTGAACCATCCAGACCGTCTTCAAGGGCAGTCCCATGTAGAACACGTTTCAGGAGTCCAATTGGGAAGTTACCAGTGCATGGATCACTGTTGCCAGGCACTGCTCATCCAGATAGGGGCACAGTTGATAAATCAGCTGAAGCTGAAGGAAAGTGCTCCTCACTACAGCTGTCACCTGGGATTTCAGGGACAGCTCCATATCAAGGAGCACTCCCACACTGTGCATCCTGTCCTTTAGTGGTAGTGCAGCCCCATCCAGAACAGGGTTGGAAACACCTACCTACAGGTTGACCCATCTACCAGCAAGACCTCCGTCTTGTCTATATTAAGCCTCAATTTATTGGCTCTCATCCAGTCCACCACCCCAGCCAGGCATTGGTTCAGGACATCCACTGCCTCACCTGGATTAGATGTAAAAAAGAGGTAGAGCTGGGTGTCATCAGCATACTGATGACTCCACAGTCCAAACCTCCAGATGATCTCTCAGAGCGGTTTCTTTTAGATGTTAAAAAGCATTGGGGGGGGGGGGGGGTGAAATGGAAAGCTGCCATGGCACAGAGCCACAATTCCCCACCACCATCTTCTGGAATTGTCCAGCCAAGTAGGAGTGGAACCACCTCAAAGGAGTGCCTGAAACCCCCAATCCAGCCAGCCTATCAAAAGCCACTGAGAGGTCCAGGAGAACCAACAGGAATCCACTCCCCCATCCCTCTCCCTGCACAGGTCATCATACAGGGTGACCAAGGCAGTTTCTGCCCCATAACCAGGCCTGAAACCAGATTGAAATGGATCCAGATAGTCAATTTTCTCCAAGAGAGCTTGGAGTTGCCTGGCCACCACCTGCTCATTTACCTTGTCCAAGAACAGGATGTTACCCTCTGGTCTATAATTGGAGGCCATCTCTGGGTCCAGATTCGTCCTCTTAAAGATGGGGCTGATCACCACCTCCTCCATGGGGGTGGGGACCTGTCCCTCTCTCAGAAAATTCATGAATTTTCTCCTTTATTTCACATTCCAATATATCAAAATTATTCTTTTTTCAAACATTGCAGATTTTTTATGTTTATAGCTGAATTATTTAATACATTTGCGTATCTAAATTTGGAATGTGCTCTTAATTCCCTCTTCTCTTCATTATCGCAATTAAACAGCTTCATTTCTGATTTATCCCAATTAACCTATAAACCATTTATCTCTCCAAATTCTTCTAAGTGAATTTTAACCTGGTCCATAACTTTAAGTGGGTTCTTTATAGTTAATAACATGTTGTCAGAAAATCAACTAACCTTAATTTTATTCTCAAATCTGATACCTTTTGTGATGTTATCATTTCTAACACTATTTACTAATAATTCTGTAACTAAAGCAAATAGTATCAGGGAAAGAGGGCATTCTTCTTTAGTACTTCAGCCTATTTGCTGAATAGGCTGTTTGACCATCATTAACTATCACAGTTGAGAAATTTTCTGAATATAATTGGTTTATTATACCTTTAAATCATGTGTTAATATCTCTATAAGCATCTTTATTGTAGGCCATTCCACACAATCAAAGGCTTTAAAAAGATCCAATGCTATTACAGCTGTTTTTAACATTTTCTTACATATGACTTCTATTACATCTAGAACTCTTCTAGTCAGATCTCTTGTTCTTCCTACTATAAAACCATTCTGATCCACCTTAATATATTTACCAATAAAATTATTCCGTCTCCTTGCAAATATTCACATTTTTAACCTCTTTCATCCTTGATTATTCCAATTAGATTTTTAGTTCTCTTTAGGTCAAAACTCTAAAACATGTTTTAGGTGAAGATAAAGATAGCAAGTTTGTGGGCTTTCTGTGTTTTTTTTTTTTTTTTTTCTTTTTGGTAATTTTTGCTGCTTGAACTCCTTAAAGGTGTATTGTGGTAATACCAGCTTTCAGACATCTGACTTTGTACATTATGCAAAGTAAACAGTACGCTAAGGATTGAGGGTCATATATTTTAAACTAAAGATAGTAACAAATCCATGGGCTTTAACCCCTTGAACACTTTGAAAATACTCTGATGCATAAGCCTGTACTCCTGCCTCTGAAACACATGCCTGCATCACCCCATGCCCCTGGCCAGTGAGCATAAATCTGAAGGTGATTCCACATTAATGAGGTTCATGTTCCCATAGAGGGAGCCTTACACAAAGAAGGCATGCACATTGTTCTGTGCTATGGAAGGAAAATCTGTAGGTGTTTGTGAATGCATTGTAATTGCTGCGTTTTGTGACCAGTACCTGGTTCTGAAAGAATGCAAATGGATTTAGATGTTAATATTTTTAAATGGCCAGCTATTCTGAGGCCTGTTGACTAATCCCTTCTATGGCAAATTGAAGTGCCATGACATGGAAAACAATATGCTCATGTTACAAGCCTTGCATCTTAAAATTGTGCAAAAAATTAAAATGTTTACTTATTTCATCCTTGCTAGAAGGGAGGGGTAACTCACAAGGAATGTTCTAGTTCCAATAGCACACAAAATAAATAACAGATGTTTGATCAGAAAAGTTAACAAGCATTGTTGATTAACTTTCACATAAAGTAGAAATCCCAGCAGAACTACAACAAACAGGTCTATATATTTTTCCAGAATATGTAGCACTTCCCTCTCTGCCTCCCTTCCCTTTTTTGGTGGTAATTAATTTGGGGGTTTTAATCTTCCCTGTCTTGTGTTTATTATCTACCTTTACTGGGTTATGAGCTTTTGTAGGGCATTTTTCTATCTAAACATGCATACAATCACACCCTTAATGATTTTGGATACACTGCTAAGCACTATTAGTATAGTTGCAAGTTTTAGTATCACTAAGATGAGTTTTTTGTTAGAACTTTTAATGATAATCTTGGCAATAGATATCCTTGCTCCACATTCAAGGTGTGCCTGTAATTAGTGAATATTTTTCAATTGCTCAGTAGTTCCTTTTGTTGACCGAAGTTGTCATTTTAACTTGTATTAATTTGTCAAAATTGCTTTTTCTCTCTTTTGTGGAAAACCCTCTCTGAGGTATTGATTTAATCACAAATCTCTCTTTGTTTCTTCTCCCCAGGAGGATCCAAATAGTATTAATGCATTAAAAAAGAAAGATCAACGCAGTAATAATGGGGATGAAAAGTCACAAAGCATGGAGACTCTACCTCCAGGTATGGAATTAGTGTTTGTTATTTTTAAAGTAAGATACAAAGTGGCAAAGAAAATTACTTAACTAGCATCTATAGCAAGAGTAAAAAACAAGTTTGGTATTAAGAACCAAGTAGAGAAAGATGGGGAGAAATAAGTTCTGAAGGTTTCACTGATAGTACTTCATGGGTAAAACCTCATGTTAAAAGAGAAGAACCTTTGGGCTGCAGTTTTATACTGAGCAGGGCATAAGCCTTATTTTGAGTAAAAATGGTTACCGAGTTGACAAGGCTGCTGGTCTTATATCATTTCAGCACTAGCTACTGTCTACTTAAATGTTTTGAATAGAAAAAAACCTGTCCTGTGCGCCTCACTAAGTGTGGCTGGGTGGCTTAAAAATATAAATAGTTTTGTGACATCTCAGATATATGCATTTATTGCTCACTAATCATCATAGCACATGAGCATGGCAGGGTGGGAACATAAGTCATAGTATGGTTTTAGGCTGCAGTTCTCAAAATACTTATAAGGAGTAAGTCCAGTCAACATTAGAGCATAAGAATGTTGGATCAGACCAAGGGTCCATCTAGTCCTGCTTTCTGTTACACAGGGGCCAGTCAGCTGCCCACAGAAGACCTACACGCAGGACATTAGTGCAACAGCACCCTGCCATCCATGTTTCCCAGTAACTGGTGTGCAAAGGCATATTGGAAGTGCCATGTAGCCATCAGGACTTGTAGCCATTGCTACCCTTTTCCTGCATGAATTTGTTCTGCTGCCTTTTGAAGGGGAAATACAAATTTGGTGTCCATTGCAGAAACGAATGTGAAGAAGCACTTCATTTATCTATCCTTAATCTCTTCTTTGTGAGGTAATCCACATAGGGATTGCATGTGAGTTTAACAATATCTCTGAAGAAAACAAAACAGATTTGCCTCGTTTTCAGAGAAAGCACTTATGTGTCTGCAGCCAGAAATCGTTTTAGAGTGGGAATTTTTTTCTCGGTGAAAGAAGGGGAAGAAGATGCTTCTTTTAAGATGGTGCCTACCATTCATAGGATGGCAAAGGATGAGTAGCCTGCTGAGGGATTTTTCTGTATTCTGTTTTGAAACAGGCTCTTAAGACTATTTTATTCAGGTAGGCCTTTTTCTGCTAAAGACTGCAATCTTCTAGCTCTGCAGTGTGATGTTTTATAATATTAATGTCTTTGTTGTGATGTTACGGTTATGATTGTGTTCTAAAGTGTTTTCTATGTATGATTTTGCATTGTAAGCTAGTCTGTATCCTTTGTCATGAAAAGGAGGAGTGACTAAAGTAATACAAATAAATATCAATAAACATTAAGTCAAAGGCAACAACAATAATAAGCGAATAGAAAGAGTAGAATAGCGCAGGGTGGAAAATAAAGATTTGTAATCAAACAGTGTTCCACTGCAAATATTCTGGGCCAAAATATTATTTTCAGAATAAAAGGTTGAGACTGCAAGAAACTTGGAGCTGCTGATACAAAGGAGGATTGGGCTGTGTTTGTGTGTGTGTGTTTGTCTGAGAGAGAGAGAGAGAGAGAGAGAGAGAGAGAGAGAGAGAGAGAGAGAGCGCGCGAGCGAGCGAGCGAGCGAGCGAGCAATAAGAGTGTAAGAAAAGAGGCAGGAGATAATTGGTAATCTCAAACAGAAATAAAAGCATTTCCTTATGTAAATAGAAATAGCTGATATATTTATGAATTTCATTTCTATGCCATCCAAAATCCAAAGTTCTCTGAGTGGCTCAAATAATTAAAAACATAAAATGTAATGATAAAATACAGTATAAAATTAAAAGTTAAAAGCTTATAGTAGAAAATAAAGAGAAAACCCAAAATAAAATTGTAGCAGCAATGGAAAAATTTAAAATGCAGCAATGGAATTTAAGTAGCACAACCTGAAAAACTAACATGCCTTAAAAAAATAGATTCTTCACCTGGCACCAAAAAGAGTACAATGCAGGTGTCAGGCAGGCAGGCAGGCCTCTGTGGGGAGGGTCCAACTGGATTGCCTCAACAGAAAAGACCCTCTTCTTAGTAGCCAAACACTTCACTTCCCCTGTTCGGAGCTCCTGGAGGACTGTTGAAACAATAGTAGATCTGGACGGGTATATATGGGAAGGAGACAGTTCTTTGGGTAAACAGCCAAGCTGTTTAGGGCTTTAAATACTTAACATTATCCCTTTGAGTTGCCAGTGGAAATTGACTGACAAGCAGTGTGGGTGAAAAGGTAATGACATAATATGTTTACATTGTTCATTAACAGACATGCTTCCCTATTTTGGACCAGCTGAAGTTTCTGGATCACTTTCAAAGGCGAATGTATAACACATTGTAGCAATCCAGCTGAGAGGTTACAAAACTGGCTAGACTCTCTGGATAAGGATGTAGTTGGTAAATCAGCCAAAGCTGATCAAAGGTATTCTATGCCCATTGCTCGTGACAATGCTGGATCCAAGAACACCCCCAAACTACAAACTTGATCCTTTAAAGAGAGTACAACCCCCTCCAGAACAACTCAAAAATCACTTAGGCAGCTAATCGCTTGCTAACAGTATTTTCATTTTGTTTGGATTGTGTCTCAGGTTACTGACACTCATTCACACTCAGGCACTGGTTCAGAATACCTACTGGTCATCTAGATTTTATGAAAAGGAGTGACACAATTGAATGTCATGTCTTTACTGATGACATCTCAGTCCATATTTCAGAAAACTTCCACCAGTGGTTTCATGTAGGTGTCAATCAGCATAGAGGATAAAGTAGAATCCCATGGTATAACTGCAAAGCATAGAGCAGGGGTCTCAAACTCAACATACCTGGGGGCCGCTGGAAGTAGAGTCTGGGTGAGGCTGGGCCGCATCAAGTATTCCACCACTGTGGTGGTGGTGGGCCTCTCATCCCACAGCCGGCCCGGGTGCCCCCGGCTCTTTGAAGGCCGCAGGGCCCCTTGCCCGTGCCCTGCCCGTCCTGGCAATTGGCCCGCGGGCCACGAGTTTGAGACCCCTGGCATAGAGCATTCTCCCCGTACCACTTTCTGGAATTATTCATCCAAGTAAGAGCAGTACCACTGGAATGCAACACTTCCAGTTCCCAACCTAGGTAACTTCAATGGAAGGATGATGTAGTTCATGATAACGAAAGCCACTAAGAGATCAAAATAACAGGGTCACACACTCATCCTGTTCCTTTATTTGCAGGGGTTATCTGACAGGGTGACCAAGGCAGTATCCATCCCAAAGCTAGGACTGAAAATTAAGGTATTGCTAGATAGTCACTTCCATTCAACAGTGTGTGAAGTTGGTAGACAACCATCTGCTTAACCACATTGCCTAGGAAGGGAACATTAGCACCGGCTTACAGTTGTTAATGCCTTCCAAGGCCATTTTAGGATTTTCAGGAGTCACCTAGTAACTGCTGCAATTAAAGTGATTGACTCCACTCCCTCTCTCAAAGAGGAGGTCACAGCCTCTTGGACCCAGATGGACATCCCTTTATTAGATGTAACAAACCATGATGGACAAGAGTCAGGCATACAGGTGGTGAAAAGGATTTGGCCAAGCACCTTGTCCACATCCTGAGGCCTTAACAAATGAAACTCCTTCAGTAGTATCCACCTGTCCATGTGCTTAGTGGCACTCTCAAAGAACTCTTAATAGGTTGGTGTGACAGAACTTTGTGGAAGACATGTTAATTCTGTTTCAGAAGAACTTTTCCCTCCATGTACTTACTGATTCTGTTTTTGGTAACACTTTCACACAATTTACTAAGTAAAGACATTAAGCTAACTAGCTAATGCCCCGGATCTCTCTGGATCCTTTTTAAAAAATTGGTGTTACATTCTCCAGCCCTCTGGTACAGAGGCTAATCTTAGAAACATACTACATATTTTGGTAAGAAGGTCAGCAATTTCTTACTTGATCTCTTTTGGGATTCTGGGATGGATACCAGCTGCACTCCATAATTAACTTTCAGTTTGTCACCACAATTGATTCTAACTTAGTGTCTGTATAAAGGACAGGTTTCTGTAAGAGTCTGGCTAGCAGCCTTGGAAATGGACGTGGTTACTTGAAGGTTGCAGGCCCAGGTACTTTTGCAGACTGTAATATTATTAGAAATAGCATTTTGGCATAGTCTTTATGTTAGCTGTGAAGAGTCTTGGATGGAAAGCAAATGGTACAGACTTACCCATTATTATTAACCTGATGGCAAAAGATAGGTGTTCCTAAGAATACCTTATTCTACATTCTTAGGTCAATTTGACTCTTAAATCAGTTTTCCAGAATGCAAGTGAAACACATTTTGATGTTGCTTTTGTTACCATCCTCCCCTTCAAGGCTTCTGGCTTGAATGAGAGTTCTGTGGATTATGACATTAAGGTTTAAAAGCATAAATAAGTAGTGAAGAATGTGGGGTTTTGTAAAGCCATTAACTGTATACAGAATTTTCTGCATGTTGCAACATTTGATGATCTCACTACTCAGTGTTAATAAAATTTGAGGATTATAGCTCACTGCATTAAGCAGTGTCGGCTCGTGCAGGAGATAAAAATCCGAACTTGCCTCCTGATGCTCAGCTTAAAAAGATTAATATCCAGCCTTGTGAATTAATTCTTCCTAGCCCATATGGGTTAATATCATTCTTAAATTGCGTTAACAGTTTATGACCATACAATTTTACTTAAAGCCTTGCAATTCACCTTTTAAATAAAGAAGTAATTAATATACTTTATCTTTCTATTAATTTTAAAAGTGAAAAATATTAATAAAACCATTTTTTGGAACTAACAAAGGTTAAAATACATTCAAACAGCCTGTATTATTTCCTGTTTGGCTACTTTCCCAAGATCAGCCAGTCCATTTGTGTCTTCATAACAAATTTAGTCTTTACCTTTTCTGTGTGTCTGTTCCAAATCCTGTTTGAATTGATGTCTAACCTGGGGAGGGAGACTGCCTTGATCCAGGTTCTGGTTCTTCTAGTCTAGTCTAGGGAAGAACTAGATAACTGGGGACAAAGTAAAATATTAGAAAAGGTGTGGAAATAGTGACTACGTGTTTCTAAACTTTCTTCAGATTTTTCACCAATAATTTAAACAAGTAAGCCTTCTTTTCTCTCAGGTATTGACAGTGTCATCTTGCTGACTTAACAAACAACAGCTACCAAAACTGACCCAAATTCTTCGTTTTAAATCTGTCAATCTAAATTCAAGGGAGATTCGAGGCTTTTGAGTCTCCCTAGGCACATTTAACTAGATGAATTGTGCCTGTAGCTATATTCTCATTCTTGCTGACTTCACATCTAAACTAATTGTGGAATGAACTCTAGAACCAAACTGGAACAGTAGTCTTATGTTGGTCTGATGGTACATAGTGTGTAATTGTATGCATGTTTAGACAGAAAAACATATTAATCTAGACAGAAAAAGGCCTTACAACTTCCAACATTCTCTAAGCCAGCCATGTTTGGCTGGGAGTTCTAGAACTCTCTGTTTTAAACATGCATAGGACTATGCTATTAACTTTATTACAGTCAGTTTATATCAACTAAATGACCTTTTGTATATTTATGAGGCACATAGAAACTGTATGTAAATAAGGTGTTATATGTATATATTAAGGGAGATTCTATCAGTTTCCCAGACTGCTGATTAGTGAACAAGCAGATTTTCTGTAGATGGGTGTTTTTGGGGCATTGCATTGGCATGGGGTTCAGTTGAGTGTCTGAGCAGATGCAATGAATTTCAGCCATTTTGTTTTAAGATGGGGGGGGCAGTGATTTTTTTTTAAGGTCAAAAGACAGATATAAGAGTTAAATAAATGAGTAGCCAACTTTCACTCTATTAAGATTCTGTTAAGCAATTGCTTTGAAATGATAGATGCTCTTTAAATTAGAACCAGTTATGGTGTAGTCATGAGAGTGTTGGACTGGGATTCTGGAGATCTGGGTTCTATTTCCTACATAGCTGTGAAGCTCTCTAGATGACTTTGGGCCAGTCATGGACTCTTGGCCTAGCCTATCTCCCAAGGTTGTTGTGAAGATAAAATGGAGACGAGGAGAGCCTTGTAAGCCAACTTGAGTTCCTTGTGAGAGGAAGAAGGGCAGGGTATAAGTGTAGTGTAGTGTAATGTTGTTTGTTTGGATATTTTTTATCCTGTCCAATACGTTGCGGGTCTCTGGACGGCTTACAAGTCAAAATCCAATAAATACATATAAAGATACTAAAATGCACATTATAATAACATGGTGTTTTTTAAAACAAAAACAGCAGCCAAATGGTGGAGGAGGGGGTTCAGGATTGGGATTGCCATAGGGTTGGGGCATCTTTCTGCCCACTACAGTAGCCCCAACAAATATTTCCCTTTAAGGCTATGTCACCCTGGTGGGAAGTTGCTGTTTGCACCAGGGTAAATAGCAGCTTGAGCAAGAGGGAAGGGTTAAACTCCTTCTCTTCCTTTCATGGTCCTGATTCTGATTAGAGTTGCACTGTAGAAAATAGCTTTAAAAATTGAGTCATGCTATATTAAATACATCTTATATAACATGTAGTTTGGCTCTGCTCAGGGTTTTTTTTAAAGCAAGCAAATACAATAGGATTTAGATCTGTTCACCAGGTACTCATTTCCTTTTCTTAGAGCAAAAACACATAGTATAGGGTGAATTTTAGATGGAAATGCTATCCAGTGCTCCAATGCTTTGCAACCACAGTATCCAGAGCAGGGGTGGGCAAACTCAGGGGACCCAGGGGAGCACTTTTTACCCCTAACTAGACTATACTGCTGCCATGACTACTGCTAGCTCCTCACAAAATTGGCAGTTTGCTGCTGTATTTTGGTGCCAAACTACAATAGAGACTTGAAAAGAGCAACTTTAGCTTTTTTCTTCCTCAGCGAAGCTTGTCTCTTTTAAACCTGTTTTGCTATTTGCAACATCTTTATCTTTTTACCTTCACCTTCACCACCTGTCTTTATTGTTTTATTGTTTATTTTTTAAAAAAATATGGCCACCACTAAATTATTTGTGAATGGCAGGGTTCATACTAGGGGCTGGGGACAGGGTGCTTGCAGGTCATGGATCACCCACACCTGATCCAAAGAAATGTCTTCTCCCACATGGATTCTTAAATCATTTTCCAAGTCCCTCCTGCTGGTATTTCTACTGAAGGAAGTTACACAACTGACTACAATAGAGCGAAGCTTCTCACTTGTAGTTATGCTCTCTCAGTTAAGCACTATCCTTGTTTAAATGAGGCACCGCAAGGAGGCTTACTTGGTGCCTGTACTGTTGACTTCTTGATTCTTCCTTTTTTCTTGGATGGTCTAGAATTCAAATGCTAACATTTTCATTCTTATTGAGTGTCTTTTAATTGATTTCTATGCTGTTTGTGTTTTCTTTTGCATTTTATTCTTTTAGTTTTTATAATTGTTTGAGCAGATATCAAATAAATAAATGCACCAGTATTGAAGATTGTATCACTAGAAAATATCTCCTTCAAGAGAGGGAATTTGAAGGAAGGATATGTCATCTGCTTCTCTTGACTTTGAAAAATTTGTTGCACATTTTTGTAAAGTGCAAATTGTTCTTATAAAACTAAAATGCTGTGTTATATCTGTTTTTTTTTTTTTCTTTTCTATCTTTTTCGTAGGAAAAGTCCGGTGGCAAGACTTTGACCAGGATGCTTATGTTGGAGTTACCATGGTCAAAGCTGGTCAAGATCCATATGCCCGTAATAAGTTTAATCAAGTGGAGAGTGATAAACTGCGAATGGACAGAAATGTACAAGATACTAGACATGATCAGTAAGTACCAAATTGCTTTATCCATATTCCTGTAGCATACAGTCTCTAAACTGAAACGTGTAACTTGTACTAGCAAATAAGCAATGGCAAGCAGCTCAGCTGCAGCCGTCAAGAGTTCACTCACATACGTGTTTGTGCTCTATCAGTGCTTCTGTCCTGCCATGCTCTGCTGACTTGGATTAGTTCATAGCACTGAATGATGGCGCTGTAACAATACAAGCAACAAATAGTGAATTGCTCAGCCTGTATAAGACCTACTTAATGTGAAACATGGTAGGAATGCATCTTTCATGGTATTACATGAAAATATGAGATGATGAACCATAGACCGATTTTGAACTAGTTAGAACGGATATTAATTGACATGGAACTAACTAGCAATAACCACAAGGTTTGGTTTGAACCCCACTTTGGCTGTTTGGAAATACCTCTGGCTGAAGCCTACCTATACCCTTGTCATTTCAGTCCCATAGGTGCTGCACCCTGTGAGGAACAAGTAGACACATATGCCACCACTTATGTAGTTCTGTCCTCAACAGTTACGCCAACACTTTCTCCCTTCTGCTGGGTCAGGGAAAACATCACTGTCCTGTTCAGGATGGTATGGGATGGAACCATGAAATAAGGGACCACACGCTTTACCATGCACCAGAACCTAGTGGACCCAGGCAAGACAAAAGACTGGCTGTGTCCTGCCAATGTCTGCCCTAGTGATTTGAAACTACCAGCTCACAGTCCCATACTTCCCAACCCATGTCCTCCATGGTGGCCTTACTCAGTTGATGAAGAAGCTTGAGAGTAAGAGGAGGAGACTCTGCCTTCTTCCTCTGTCCCTAGCTGCCAGAGCTTAGCAGCACATGCTGCTGCTGTCTGCACAAGTGCAGGAACAAGCTATTTGTGGTCTTATGCCCTGGAAGTATTCCTTGCTAAGAGATGTATCTTGCAATGTCAATAGCTAGCACAGCTGGGATCCACTCAGATCTCAGAATAGCCCCACACCATGATCTTGCACTTCTGTTGTGATCCAGACTCTCAGCCTGCAATTGTTGCTGGGTGGTGGGGGGCAGAATTACATGACACTGGTAGCTCTGCCTGTTTGTCCTCAGTGCTCATTACAGAAACACTGCTTCCTCCTTTGGGTGTCATCCCACACATGTGCACAAATACGTATCTGCAGAATATCCACTGAAGCTCCCTTTTCCTCAAATAATTATGTAAATACCCAACAAAATTCTGGCTTTGGTCATGCTTCTGCCTTTTCCTGAGCAAAAGATTCCTCTTCATAGCTGGAAAGGTGTGGCTTCCACTCAGTACATGCACATGACTGTGATAGGGTCAGACCTGTTGGGGCAGGCACTGCTTCTGTTACAAATTAACATTCCTGCCTCGATCATGAAGACACTGTATTCTAGTTCTGGGCAGAGGTAGGGAACCCATCTGAACCGTACCAGCAACGCTTCTGAACTGGATGATTCCCTCACACAAACCACAAACAGTGCAGGTGGAATGTAATGTAGTATAATAAAGAGATTAGTAGAGAGTAGAGATTTAAAATTTCTAGGCATTTTGAATCCCTGGAAAATTCTTTCCTCTGTGTGTGTGCATGTGTGTGTTTGGGACGGGGTACAAAATGGAGATTTGGGGGAAATTGAAAAATTAACAATAGTTTTAAAATCACTTTTTACAAACCTGAAGTCACTTTCTTGCTTTAGGACAGCCTTCCCCCATCTGATATCTTCCAGATATTTTGGACTTCAGTTCCCATCAGCCTCATACAGCATGTCCAGTGGTCAGAAATGCTGGGCATTTTAGTGCAGAACAACTGCAGGAAATCAGGTTGGGGAAGCCTTCTTTAGAAATATAAAATACTTTGTATAACTTTGTTCATAAAATTATTAATACATTCAAAATCTTTAAAAAGTAAACTTGTTGTTATTGTCTGACTAAACTATACTGCAAAAAGTAGAATACCCAGCATGATCATTTTATGAGTGAACAGCATTACACATAACATAATAAGGATTCCTTTTGTATGTTCTGACCAGAGTGAACTTCAGCAGATAATTCCTGAAGCATCTGAATCACACTAGAACAAATAAAAAGCAGGAAGAATCAGAGATAGATGAAAACTGGTGCACAGCATCTGTTTCTCTTTGAAAGGAAGTTTGGCATCTGCAAATGGATCACCAACATGGAACCTGCAGGCCCCCATTTTTAAAGAAAAAATAATTCATTATTAATTCCATTTCTAACTTATTCATATGGCCCCCTGGTCATTCAAGGGCCTGACACAATTAGCCAGGTGTCTTTTATTCTTGGCTGGGTCTTTTTATTGTCTTTTAATGCCTTATATGTTATTTTAAATTATTTTAGTGTTTTATCAGTGTTTTATCTATTGCATTGTTTTTACACTTTGTCGTAAACTACCCAGAAATCTTCAGCTGTGGATGGTATAGAGATGAAATAATGAAGTGCATTACTGCAGTAATGAGATGAAAACTTGTGTGCAGTGGATAAAACATTCTCACAGTTATAGACAGACTTCAAGAAAAGTGCACCAAATGTCCAAATATGTATCCATTTGAAAGTAGCAAAATTTCAATAGAACTGAATATGACACAGCTTGAGATCCTTAAGTATCTATTAGTACAAGATATACATTAGAGCAATAATTTTAATAAGGAATGGAAGAAAGAACTGTTCTTCAAATTTTACAGAGAGCATTACAAAAAGATTTTCCCTGTGGCTTCACTTTGAGCAGAAATTTTTCATCTGTAGTCTTTCTAGAATACTGCTCTTATTAAATACTTTGTATAAGTCAATTTGCAGTGAGTAAAGGATGGGGAAAATACATAGCCCTAAATTCTAAATGAAAATATTCTATAATCCAAATACCTTCATTTAAAAAGAATCAGGAAAAATGGTTCTTGAAAAAAACATTTTTTCCATGTTTTCCCCAACTTTTCCTGTTCTTTTCCCAGGCCTTCACATCTCTAGGCAATATCCAGTCACCTGAGAAATAAGATTTTGCTGATAGGATGAAAGCTGAAGAATACATTTAAAATACAGCTAGGGGGGCTTATGGGGGAGAAGCTCTTACTTGTAATATTAACAATTTCATGCTTCATGTATGTTTTCAGTGTTCTCATTCAGAATTTCATTATATGGAAAGGTTGGGGATAAATAGATCCATTTTTAAAGGCACAGCACATACCCCTGTCTTTCCCTTTGACTTGCTCAAATTGTTTCCGAGGGTTTGAATAAATCTAAGTCCTCCGTGGTCTCTGTGAATCAGACATATGTGCTCTGCATGCATGTGTGAAGCCTTCTCAGGAAGATTTCAAAGCTAATTAATTACTATTTGGTGGGAACTCCTCTCTTGGTCATACCCTAGTGTGAGGGAGGGGCTCCTGCCTGATCTTCAGTTCTTCCTTACTGCCATCATGGATGCATTGGGAAGTTCCTCCTCTGCTTACTTTCCTTCCATGAGTCCTTTCCTTCTAAGATCTCCATCGTCTTGTTGAATTCCTTTCTCTTTTTACCTCATGCTCAAAAAAAAGGGTAAAATTAATCTGTCTGTCTGTCTGTGAGGGACTGCAGGTGGCGCAGTGGTTTAAACAGCTGTGCTGCTGGGCTGGTAGATCGAAAGGTCGCCGGTTCTAATCTGCACAACGGGGTGAGTTCCCGTTGCTCCGTCCCAGCTCCTGCCAACCTCGCAGTTCGAAAGCATGCAAACACAAGTAGATAAACAGGTACCACTTCAGTGGAAAGGTAACAGCATTCTGTGCACTTCGGTGTTTAGTCATGCCGGCCACATGACCATGGAGACTGTCTGTGGACAAGCGCTGGCTCCCTTGGCTAGGAAACGGAGATGAGCACCGCCCCCTAGAGTCAGGCATGACTGGACTTAATGTCAAGGGGAAACCTTTACCTTTATATCTATCTGTATCTTCGTACCACTTTCCTCTGCTGCTGTACATCTCATGTTCTTCTGTCCCTGGTTTGACTTGCCTTCTGGACCACACAATGGAGCTCAAAGCTCCATTTAGAAATTGCTCAAGCTGCAGTGGCAACTACCTCTGACTGACAGACACTTGCTTTATCTTTTCTGCCTGGGAGAACCATGTGGTAGAGACCTGTTACCACTGCTAGGCCTTTACCAACCAAGCAAAAAAATACTGAGCTGACTGCCTGAAAGCAGAGCTCTGGAATAGAGCTCTCTATGGGACTGGCTGCTTCTAACTACCAGAGCAGTCATCAACAACGGGGGATCCAGTCACCCTCTTCAGCTGTTCTCCCGACCCCAGATCAAACTTCAAAAATCACCAAGGCCAAGAAACTGGTGAAAAAGGTGAGAGTCTCCAAAATGCCAGCTAAAGCCAAAGAGGACAGCAAATGCACCAAAGCCAAGCACCATGATAGGTACTGACATACTGACACCCCCACATAACCTGGACATGGAGCAAGAACCTGACATTGAACAGCACTCCTTGCTGGTGCCAAGGGGAGACCAGAGCACCAATGCACCAGGCAGCCAGGGGCACCTCATTTTTGGAGGTGAGATAAGGGAACCTTCTCCAGCGAGACAACAGGCACCTTCTGCTGCCTCAGGATTGAGATGTGCCTCACCTTCCTCAGCAATCTCAAGGAGAAGTCCATTCTATTGAGCTTGACCAGTGCAGATTCCGCTCCCACTTGCCTCTCTCAGATTAAGCCTGGAGACTTGACTGCCTGATGCCCGCAAATAGAAGGGACTACAGTGGGGACTCATACCAGGGCCACTGGACCTCCTATTACTCCAGGTCCCCAGAATTTCTGTCTTGGAGTCCTGCACACTCAAACAGGGCCCAGAATGCATTGAGTCCCTCTGGCCCAAACTGAGATCAATCAGTTCCAGGCCTTCGAAAGAGACTGAGACTTAGTGCTCTCCACCACTGCAGATCCAACCGCTACAAGCCTCCTCACTAATTGTGGATCCATCAGCCCCCAGACCTTCTTTC